GACTCAATGTAAATTTACTTCAAATAACATAGAAAGATGAAAGAATCTTTAACTTGAACATTGCTAGGGTTGTATTTTGGCCTTGGAATCCATAGTTATTTGCGTTTCTAAAGCGTGAGAATGATGTTGTTTCATTGATAAATATAAACTTGGAAAAAAAATTAAGGACCCACCAACGGCTCTATTAGTGTATCCGGGACTTCAAATGAATGCCGAAATTTGATCAACAGATATTTATTTATATCCAATGGCAGGCGTTTTGATGGCTATCATTAGACTTTAGTTGACTTCAGACTTCACAGATGGGAAGGAGCATCGAAGTGAAAAAAGTCGAGACGGGGGGGGGGGAACAAAAGTGTTTCAAAGACGAAGGTAGAAAAAAGGTGAGGTGAGTACTGTGAAAGAAGTCGACTATGCCATACAGTGGGGTGATGGTAGTTTGAAGTCAGAAGTGAACTGCCAGTTAATAGACTTTTTTGCCGTATGAGAATACGTTGCCCAGGGTGCACCACATGGAGGTAAGTCTATCGCGCACCCCTGATCAACAAATATATATTCCCCCTTTAGGCGTGACCACATTTAGTGCTATAAGCGTTCCGTTTGAGTAGAAGTGAGTGAAAAGAATATGTCACTATCACTGGTCAGACCCACTCACGGACCACTTAATTCAATCATAAGATTCGGGTCACGCCCGATGGCACTCTAAGTTCTTCAAAATGCATATGATCGAAAGGTCAGAATTAATATTTTAATGGCCTTAATAAATATAAACGCTCACTTCAGACCAGGGTAAGATCTTTAAAAAATTCGAGGCTACTTTTTAAGAAATCTATTTCTATTATTTGGTGTTAAAAAAAACTTAAGAGGAAGGATTATAACCCATAATAAACCAATGACCACTCTGATCACGATTTTCTTGCATGGGAAGCTATAATCCGCTTTCTACGTTTCTATAGATGCTAAGATTGAATTTAGCAGAGCTCGCCAAGCTCAAACTTGTTATCGGTCGTGTCTTGACTGACAGGAAGCTTAGTCATTATGTACACTTTCGGGTGCAGAAATAACGTAATGATTGATTGGTTGAATGTTATCTGCACTCGCCACCTCAATTGCACCCTAACGTGATTGGCAAGCGTCCGCAACATACCAAAAGTTTGAGCGCGAAAGCACACCTTTGTTTCAGCTGTACTAACGTTGCGGTCCCAACAATCTTTATTTTTCTTCTGTTGCAGCGTGAGGCACGAAAGTTATAGAAAAATGGAAAATAGCCAGATTCGTTTAGGCATGAGAGATGGGAGTCTGATCTTCAGAAACACAAAGGCGAAAACCCCAATTATGTAAATAAAGAATGGGACTAATGAGTAACTTTGCGCGAATTCATCGTCAGATTTAGTGTCCGTGACCTCTGATTACGCCAAGAAAAAAGTTACCTTCTGCGCTAACGGCGCACAAGTTCGCATGCAGCGCTTAATTTGTTATCACGTGAATTTGAACTGCGTTTTGAAATGCACCGTTATTGATTTTCTATATTTGAGGCTTAAGGGGATATAAGGGGGTAGGAGGTTTTTCCAGTGATCGGTTGATTAAATGTCTTGCGCAACATATCAATTATACTCTTTTAAAGATCAAGAAAAGAGAACGACACTACGTCTTACGTTGTTAAAACTTTGCACTTTTCCACAACCAATAGCTCGTAGATGGGACTGGATTTCTTGAAAGGTGAGCTTTGGTAATAATTTTTTAATAGCTAGTGACACCGAATTTGCTCAGGAAAATGACTCAGAATTCAAAAATTTGGGCAAAAGACACCAACACTGTTTGCCTTCTAAGCAGATGAGAGTTGGGTGTGTGTGCGTGTGTGTAACCACTGCCTATGGTTAAGTATCAGAAGCTTCTCGAAGGATCTGTATCATTTCAGGTAAAAAAATTGATGCTCAGCAGTATAGGACACGAATTGAATAAAATGAAATAATGACGTTTGGCAGGTAATAACAAATAGAGAATAAAATAACACGAACACAGAACAGTGCAGCAACACTAATCCTGGCATGTAAGATAGTAGAGTTGTAACTTGTTAAAAAATGAGATTAAACATGGGACCTGCAAACGAACGTAGAAAATCGATATATAGGTCACGGTAACTCATCGACACTTTTAACGCACATGTGAGCTTCAACAAAAAGCGAAAAATTCATTTTGTTGGTGTACAAAGAAACATCGTCTAAAGAGAATTTATCAATCAATTTCAATAAACTGACCATGAAACGACTGTTTGTGCAGAAGAGTTATAATTAAGGCAATTTTCGCTAATAAGCAACAGTAGCATAGAATCAGATGAGGAATCTAGTCTGTGCTGGATTTATTAATTAGAGATAATGGAAGGCAAAATTGAATCACATAGCTAAATGGGAAACCACGACTAAATCTACTGCTATTAGCCGTAATACTGTAGAGAACAAAGAAATCTCATGCTAACTCAGACAGAATCGAAGGTGCGCCCAAGCGATGAAAGCTCAAGGACCTGTAGTCAATCATCAAACAATACTCGCTGTATTGTTTAGTAAGCCTTTTGTTCTAGCACAAGGGGTAACCTCTATGACGAGGACGCAGAATCACTTATAAACGTATATTCACGTCATACCCTCTGTTTCCACTATGTTTTGTGCGTAACCCATCTAACTTCGAGAACCACTTGAAACTAGGAGACTTTGCCTTAGAGAATACTGAAGGTAAGTCAAGGCTTTTTCGTGTAGCAATTCGCTATAATGCAAGCACTTTTAAGGGTTTTTATACGATGATGTGCTCTCGAAATCGATTTACAGATTGGCCACAGAAATCGTAAATGGAAAGGGAGCAAAAACAGCTTCTGATGACAACTTTAAGAAATCACGGAGTTTTACTTCACTCGAATTCCCTATTTGGTCTCCAGAATTGCGACACATGTTTGTCATCGCTGTTCAGTGCTTACTGACTGGTCTTGACACTTGAAATTATTTTTTTTCAGTCAAAGGTTTAAAGTACAAAGCAGTTCGGATAATATATGGAAGAATTTATAGTTTTGCCATGGCAGTGACCAAAGAGCTACAAACTTTAATGCGTGAATGTTAGAAACGCTAGCTTGCATAAGCGGATGACGTTAAAATATCTTCGCTGCTATATAGAGTATTGGCCAAATATGCACTCCCAAACACGCAGTTCAGTCGACTAACCAATAAGTTCGACATTTTTAAGTAAGACCAAACTCAGTACATGCAATGACACCGTAAACTGTCCAAAGTGTATAGTGCAAATACTATAATGAATTTAAAAATAGCTTAAACCCTTCTTAATGCTTTGAATTTCGCATAGATCAGCCTGGTTCTTCGACCACTTTATCACCTCTTTTTTTTCAGGATCTTTTTACCATGAGTAACAGCAATCAACGAAGACCTAAAAACTGCACCATGTTGAATACATTTAATTCGTTGTCATTGAAACTTTAAAAGTATTGTCTTTAAAAACGATTGATTGTGAAGACCTAATGTTAGAATTAATTGGTACGGATTTTTGAACAACAAGACTTTTCAAAAGCTAAATTATCAAAAGAAATCCTGAATCAGTTTTTACATATTCTTAAGGAACAGAATTAGCATACACGAATTGAACTGGAAAGAATAATTATGCATAAGGTTACCGAAACTTATAATGATTAATCAACCACTATAACTGCGCAAAAGAACAATAATGTTCTCAGGGTAGCAAACAGATTGCTCTACAGCAGAAGTGTAAAATTTTTGATTGAATTACGGCCACCGAGTAGAGGACCACATTGACATATTCCATGGAGGTGAAAAATAAAGAAAGATCTTAAATACCAGATCTTGATTTTGAACACATCAATAAAAAGGAAATAAAGTCGATATAAAGCTACAATTAACGCATAAAAATTGTTTATTGAAATACTAGATAATCAAAGGAAAAAGTGGGGTTTGATAGCTACAATTTAAATAAATTTGTCATAATGTAATCAATTGACAACGAATTAAACAGGTAAATATGACTTAATTCCAGAAACCACACAAGCTGCACACACGATGGTTGCCAATGTGAAAATTGCAATTGAAATTGCAATGATAAATAGAATGACCGAATATCGAACAATATAATCCTGAATTTTTGCATCACAGCCCTGAGAAAACAAACGGAGTAACTATATCATCAGAAAGTGAAAATACCTCAGTAAAGGACTCGCAACTTTGAGAAATATTTGTCCCATAATCAGAAGGGCCGTCAACACCACAGCACATAAACTATAAAAGGAAAGATTTGCTACAATCTACAACTTACGACCGATTCAATAGCCTCCATGGCTATTCCACTACCGTTTTTATATTTTTCAAATTCAGAAATAAGAGCAGATCTAGTAAGAGAAGGAATCTAAAAAGAAAAAATAATAAAGATAGAGAAACTTACTTGGTCTTTGTAGACAAAGCCGAGGATGATGGCCACGATGTCAAGGATAAAGATAACAGCAATAAGAACAGCATACTAGAAGAATTAAATAAATATGTAGACATACGGTAGTTAGCATGCACACATTTCCAGTTGCAGCTCCACAGCAGCCAAGGAAACTTAGAACACAAACGACGAGTCCAAAAACTAAGAATGCAATTACGATTCCATATTCATGTAATTTAACTTCGGGAAAAGTTGAATGGAGGGAATAAAGCAAATAACTTGCAAAGGCGATAAGTGTCAAACCACATAGCTAACATTGTGAAAGAAAAAGTATTATGACTTACAAAGAATATACTGTTAAAAATAACAGAAAGTCCCACGAGCATTGTTTTACCACATGAAAGCGCCATACCTCCAAAGATTTTAGACGAGCCAAACCCACTAGAGAAAACCTTTAAAGATACCGTTTGTATTAAATGTCTTTTATATAAGTCAGTAAAACAAATGTTACATTTTATTAAGATAATTATAAATGCGTATTTTATTATAGAGTGTGAACAAAATAAAACAAAGTAAAGCCAAATAATATGAATCCTAAAATTATAAATTATTTACAGTATTGAACAATTTAATTGTATATTAAATTAATAAAAATTACCTAATAATTTAAACTCTTAATAAAATTTGATTTTTTGTTTTTGCCAACTGATTGAAAGGCGATTTTGCAATTTTTCTGGGCTTATGACTGTCCCATAATGAAATCGATAGCTGAATTGGAACAGCAATGGGTTTGTGATTTAAAATCAAAATCATCGGGTGAAATTGAAAAACTTATTCCGCGTTTATTTGAGGAGGGTGATCGAAACTTCAACAGTAATATGGAAAGGGCATTTATCTTATATGGAAGGGGGTTGAATATGTACAATGATCTTAAAAAAAGGAATTACGACAAAATTTCTAAACAAGTATTCGAAATTTTCGCTTTCATTTATTATGCAGTTAAGTTCCAGTTGTGCGAGTGCAGAACGCGCTCTCAATCGACTTCGCATTGAATTGTGTGCGCGACTTCTTGAAAATTTAGATATTTGTGACGACCCCTTACCCCCTTCTAATGAAGAACATCAAGTACTTAATTTTAGATTTTGATGACTTTTTATATAGAAACCCGTCCATTTTCCTGGTCGTTGGTTGCCCCCGAAGTATTTTTATGATATGTTCAAATCTGATTCCGCCTTTCTTGTTGATGCACGTCCGAGGGAAGATTACTCTCGTAAACGCATAGTTGGAATCCCACAAATTAACGTTGGAGGCGTTATAGTATCTGGGTAAAATTTCAATCGGCATTTTTCTCTTTTGCAGCGATTAGTTCTTACTTAACCACTATCTCCACTTCTCTTTCAGCCTAACCATAACTTCTCTGGAAAATAGATTGAATCCTGCTCAACTCTCGGAATGGAATATTCATAAATCTGCTAAAGTAATCGTCCTAATGGATGAAGATACGGGACATGAACTTATAGATAACCTTGATGACGCAGAAAATTTTCAACTTCCTTCAAGATGCCCTCTGAAGATAATATACGATGCCTTAGTTACTGTAAGTCACTGATTTTTTAATATTAGTGAACTTAACTTTCTGTCATTCTCTTTTCTTTGTAAAGTTCTCTACTTTTATACAAATTACAAGTTTCAAAACCTGTGATACTCTTTGATGTTTTCTATTTGCCTCGGTAGCGACCTTGAGATCATACTGATTGATTAAGCCAGGGTATTGGGGAATTTATCTTTATATTTTAGTATAATGCTGAGAAGACGGCAATGCCATCCACTCAGTTTCTCGCTGGCGGTCTGGAGGAATTCGAGAAGCTCTATCCCACTTCAGTTGTCATGTCCTCCTCTCATCAATCAACTTCGAAATCTAATCTGCTTTGTAAGTTCAAGTCTGATTTTTTCCTACATAGTCTATTTTTTGCTAATCTACTCTAGTTTTAACAACTCGCTCTGAACCAACCATGTGAGAGGAAAGATGAGTTTGAATGATGGTAGATTTTGGGATGTATTGGATTCAAAAATACCCGGGAGCAGGCATGTAGAAAACCCTTCCAGATATACTTCTATTATTTTTATTCCCACTTAGAAATATATTGTTTGCCATATCCAACCACTGACGTTCAGCCCTATATACACTATCAGGCTCTTATCAGTTAAAACGAGTCAATAGGAAATAAGGTAACTAATTCATGGCCACGTGCTAATCAGGCTTACCATGCTCATTATGAAATGGGATACCACACATGACTTGGGTACAGACAAGGTATTCTGGGACTGCCCTTGAGAGAACCTACATTCTGTCATCTCTTTTTGGCTAGAATTTGACATTTCAACTGATCACTCGCGTCACCGATAAGCAATGATAAGCTTAGGAGGTGTATCCTATGGATTCTCTGTGGCTTTAGCTAAAGAAAATTCAAACTTTAAATTTCTAGATTGGGTGAAAACGAGCAGAAATAGGTCTGCCTAGTGGTTGTGTCACCATCGATTGATTGAGAATTTTGTCACTCCCATCTTGGTAACTTCATTCACTAGCCCACTGATATCAGGTTTTTTAAATTAACCGAATTGTTAGTAATTTTCACCTAAGGATTTCGTGGTGATGTGGGAGTAGGTTTAGTTTAAGGACGTAACATGTGTTTTATTCAAGATAAATGAGTGAATGTTAGCATTTTGTATTACAGAGTGGTACTCTAGCTACCTTTGACAAAAGGTAACCAGTTTCCATGGGTGGAAATGCAAAGTTAGGAGAAAATCAGAATTTAATTGACACCAGTTTTAAATCGATGGAATGGAAGAAGGGTTAAGAAAAGTGAGAAAACGCGAGTGGATTGCAAGTGACGAGAATTGATGTTTGTTAGTTTATACATAGCTAGGAGTTTGAGCCACTATGAGAGTGATAGACGCGTGAACTCAGTCACACATAACTCATAACTGCCATTTAGCCTTGTGGAAGTTAATTCTGACGCTTTTGATAAGTTGCTGCAAGCACTAAGCTTTAAATTAACACGTGGTTCGACAAAAAGGAATTTGATGCTAAATGTAGGGCACACAATGTTTTACTTCATTACTGTATTATTTTATACTATTTCAGCGGGAATCAATTACGGTAGTTTAGTCGATGATGCTAGTGAACGAGTTTCTGATGGATCTTCCACTATTGTCTCCTCCATCGATGCACCAATCGATTTGGAAGCGGGAGATGATGATAGCAAGCCGTTCACTCCTTACGGGGAGCTGCACAGACGTCTCAAAGAGAATGTGGATAGAAAAGTTCATATTCACACTCAGCCATCAGAGGATTCTTCCAGTGTAAAGTCCTTCAAACCTGTGGTAAGATATGGCTAAACTTTATTTTCCTTAAGTGTTCCATTGGTCATATTGAATGTCGCTGTCTGCATGTTGGGAAAACTTTTAGAGCATTCATATATTGAGTGAAAAGCTTACGTCTACTGGCATATCACCCTAAAAGAGTTTATTACGACATAAGTTTGAGTTTGAGCAGGTAGTTGTTCTGTTTTCAATGTCTCATTATTGGAAGGGAAATTGGGGAAGAGTGTGAAAGTCCCTTTCGGTCTAAGAGGGTCTCCGGTAGAGTTAACAAAATCAGTGCCTATCGATGGGAGGGATGGCTGAATGGGGGTTCCTGAAAAGAGGCTTCAAGATACCTTTCCCCTGACAAAGTAAAGCACTGTGAGCACTCTTCTTAATGCTGGCTATAGTGCTTCAAATCGTTAATGATCGTTGAAGCGACAAATCCTTCGTCGAAATCTATTTTTTTTTCAAGTTCTTAAGTTTATGCTATTTCTGATACACTTGCCATGAAAATCTATGAAGCATCATTGCTTTTTCAAAACCTAATCAGGCATGTTTAATTTGTTCACTTTCTTAAGATTGATCGTTCAACCAAACCCCAGCCGACGCCTCAGCCGTTCGAACCTCCTGAGTATGTTCATCTTTCTTACCCCTTAATTACTTAATAAACAAAAAAAAATATATATATATATATCGATTTATCACAAACAATGTTGGCAGACCTAAAGAAGAGAAGCCTAAGGTGCCTGAAGTGAACCGACTCGATAAACCCCAAATCACAACTCAGAATGGAGAGTAAGTCTACTTGTTCTTCCTGTGAATCGCCTCTTTTCTTCCCGATCATTTACTGTTCCATTTACCATTAGTCATAGCAAGAATCCGACCGCCTATATCCGGCCAAGAAGACCCCAGCGTAAGTGCCTCCCGTTTTGTACACGAAAGTAATTAAGACAAACAGAACGTCAATAATTAGTACATTACTGGCAGCCTCGAAATGGGAGCAGTTTGACACCAGTTTGACCCTGCTATTAAATGTTGTATGGGTTTTAGCGGGTTTATTAGAGTCGATGTCATTAGATATCGTCTAGGGTAGAGTTTAGCCCATCGAGTTTTAAGCATACGTCCAGAATTCATCTTGAATGTTTCTTGTGGTTATGATAAAATAATGGGGGGGGGGCACTTAATTATTAAAAGTTGACCTTATTTCATCAAGTACTATGAAGAATGAAAAACTCAGCTTATGCAAAGTTATGTCTAAAGCAAATTGAAAAATGCGCCAAGGAAGTCTACGATATGACCGAACTGTCATGGCTAAAACGACTAGCACCCTCAGTTTCTATCTTGTGCCCTAAAATCTTACTTCAGGGGAATTTAAACGAAGCGGGGAGGGGGAGGGAAGCCACTTCTTTTCACAATCTCTTTTCTCCCTCCACTCCAGTCAAGCAGGTTCCACCCATTACGCTAGAACGAGGCCTAGTGAATATGGGTAACACTTGCTACATGAATAGCTCTCTCCAGTGTCTTCTTCACACTCCCGGATTGTGGAACTACTTCATCCAACCAGACGATGCAATACTGGGCAATCAACTAGTTGGACAATTTGTCTCCTTTGTTCGGGCTATGAGTAATAGAGGGGAATGTGCTACAGCCTTTTCGCCTAGAGAATTAAAGGTTTGTCAGTGTTCAAGTTGACGGTTAATTCAAGAGTGCACTCAAACCCTTATCCTGTTTCTTTTTTTGGTACCTTTTTTAATGCCAGTCGTGCTTTGAATTGATGCACCCGATGTTTGCAGGCGCTCGACAGCAGGACAGTCAGGAGTTTCTCGTTATTTTATTAGATTCTCTTCACGAAGCATTGAAGGTGAGTCATTGTTCTCAGTTTACTTTTCTTTTTAAGTTGAGTATTCATGAAAATAAGACTACTAGTAGATATGAAGAAACCTTGCTGGCCTCTCCTCACAACCACCATAGACGGAATGCTGAAAATAGGGCATAAGTATTTTATTTATTTATTTATTTATATCAAATGGCAGGCGTTTTGATGGTTATCATTAGCCCTTTAGTTGACTTCAAGCTTCACAGTGGGGAAGGGACATCAAAGTGAAAGAAAGTCGAAAGGGGGGGAGGAACAGAAGAGCTTTTCAAATATGTATTAGAGACAGACACAAAGGTAGAGG